TAGCTTTACCGAAAAATGAAACAAACTGAAAATCTGAGTATTGATTGATTTTTTTTTTTTTTACTTACGGCTTATCAACCTTTTGTGGGACACTTAAAGCATATTTTTGGATTGTACGAATATTTTCGAATTGTGTTGCGTGAAAAAATTTTGTGGAGATAAAAATGATTTTCCAGATACTATTCTAATACTATTTAACCCATGATTGGGGGAGAAGAGATAGGATCATAACTTTCCCAATGGTATTTGCGCGTAAGTGAATGTAACGAACTTGACTGGAATTCGAAAATGGCTCTCCGATTTCTCAGTCCGAGAAATTGATAAGAAGACTGAAAAATGAGCAAGAATATTAAGGAAATGTCTCATTTGATTTTCAATGACGGTCACAAGCTTCACTTTATGTGCAAACTTTCTTCAAGGAACTAGGAAGCCATGATTGCTTAACTCGTGTCGCTTTTAGCATTTATATGTCTTTTCTAAGGCTCCCATCTCCCTGTTCCGTTCTCCATTCACAGAAGTTCGTCAGCTAAGTGGCTTGCTGTCTTGCTTTCAATATTCCCCGTAAGTATCAAATTTTCCAAGCCCACCTTCCTCATTATGTATCCAAGTAATTGCAGCTGTCTCTTCCGGATGCTGAATAGTAGTGTTCTTTCTGTTGCCATTTCTTTTAAGACTTCCTTGCTGCTTACTCGATTCGTTCATGGAATTAAGTTTCCTTCTGTAAAACGACATTTCAGTTGTATTTCGTTTTTTGTTCGTGCGTGTGGAAAGTGTCCAACATTCACGAGCATATAAAATGGATATTACATAGAAATCTAGCACTCTTTTCTTTGTTTCCAATAAATTTTTCCGTTTCTCAGCACCTTGCTTAGCTTTTGGAATGCTTCTTTCGCTAGTCTAATGCGTACTTTGGATCTCGGTGTCACATTTTCCATCCTCTTTTAAAACGGTTCCCAGATATTTAAACTTTTGCATCTGCTTGATATTGACATCTCCAATTCGTAACTCGCATTTTGGCTTTTTCTCTTGTTGATGGCCATACATTATGTCTTCTTGTAGTTGATAATTCTTTTTCTTCCTCACTATCTGTTACTATCCTCTCTAGGGATTCCCGTAATTTTCTTTCCGAGTCGACCATCAACAGTGTCATCCCCGTATCTTATATTGGTAAGATTACGCCCACCGATAATAAATCCTGGATGGATCTCCAGTTCACTTTGGATAATGTCGTAGAGGTTGAATAAATCTGGTGAGAACACGCACTCTTCTCACGATGAAGGGATAATTCAAATATATATTTTAGGATGCATTTATTGCTATAATTCTTTGAAGGGCATATTCTTTGCAAAGAAGCACGATTACATGTGTTTATCTTGACTTTCATAATCTTCCATCAGTCCGATTTCATATTCGGTTTAGAATAGCACACATTTGGGCATAATTGAATGCAAGACACTTTACGAATAAACCCACGAAATCAAAAGAATCGATGATATTGGTTTAATGACGTTATTGATGCTAGAATAACTGGAAACAGTTGCCTTTTCATGAGGAAATGTAAAATTGTGTCACTTATGAGAAAGAACAACTTCGTCGGAAAAAAAACGAAGCGGTTTGTTTAAAAACAAATGTAATGGTGTAACAGTTAAAAAAAATCCTTAAGGCAACTTTAGATATTCTTCTAAACTTAATATCCCGTTTACCAAAGGCATCTTTTTTTCTGTGCCGTATCTCTTGAGAACATAGGTGGTCATGGCTCTTCACAACTTCCTTTCCTTTGTAGCCCTTATCAAAGTTAGTCTTTTTGCTATACTCCCCGTTCTGCCAACCATCTACACAAGCTCGTTAGGCAGGAGTCGTGCGCTGCTTTCGTCTGTCAAATTACCTACAATCTGTCTTGTGAGTGTTATTTTTCAAACCCTCTTTCCTTATGTGCCCTTCAAATTTTTAGTGTCTCTTTCTAATGCTATTTCTAATACGAATGTACAAGTGTCCTTTCTTTTTGTTTCCGTTTTCTCTAAAACTTCGTTGTTCATTTGTTCAGTTCAGAATGCTCAGCATTCTTCTGTTGAATCCTATTTCTGTTGCTTTAAGTCTGTTCTTCATCTATGATGAGATGATACAGTATTCATTGTCATATAGGAGTACCAATATTACATAAGTTCAGTACTCATTTCTTTGATTCAAATTAAGTTTTCCTGTTTCTTAATAGTTGACTTAACTTTTGGAAGCCATCTTTCTCTATCCCAATGCGCTTCGGATTTCGGTGTCACAGAGGATATTTTACACGGAGTGCAGAATTTTTCCAGTAAAGCTTCTCAGTTGACTTCAAACAAACCAGCTTTTGCACTGAAAAAGTACAATTCATTTATTGCGATGGGTTAGGGTGCTATCGATACCTAGATCACCGTTTTTTTTTTACGACGATTCCATTAACCATATGTGAAGAAAGAACTGAATCTCTATGATCATGAAATTAACTGTTATTCGAACAAAGATTAATAAAAGCAGCGATAGTTTTTTTATATCACGGCTTTTTAAAATAAAATGTAATTAAAAAAATATTAAAGAAACGTGTTTCCATTGTTTTAAATGCGTTCGACGCATCAGTATTATTTGAAAAGAATTGTGACGAATTCAGATAATTCCAAACTTTAAAAAAAAGCTCGTAACTCAGTATTTTATATTGATTTCATCTAATATTCAAACAACAAAATGGTGGCCCAATAGAGATGTCATTTGACTACTGTAGTTAAATTAGAGTTTCTATTCCTCCGACGCCGACTGTCTAATCAGCGTTCTTCGCTTCATCTTCAGTCAGATAGTCAAATGTCATCCTCGAGTCCGACCAATCAGCACACGGATTGCTATTGTTCGAACCACACTAAGCTGTATAAAAGCCGATGTTACAAAATCATACACTTCCGGAATAATCTAAAGTTGGCGGGAGAGTTTCATGCCATTTTCAAAGGAACAAAACTTAAAACCGCTACGTGTCGTGTATTGAGGTAAGGAACTTACTTTCCTTTGCATCAGATGCAAGCCACTGACTCGCTTACTTCTTGTTCACCACATCTACCTATTTCCGGATCGGACATTTAAATCTCGTCAGAATTTCCTTAGATTTTTCTTTTCGTGATCACGGGTGTAAAACTCTAAAATAAAATAAATGAAAATAATAAAAATGACGAATTAAAAAAAAAAAATCATTGTTCATAATTCCGCCATCACCAAATCTACTTGATGAATTCTGGATTTTGTTGATTGTTAAAAATGATTTTTAATGTTAATCTAGTGTTAACTCATAGCATGTCCATATTGAATGAGCTTCTAGGCTTCTCCGATGACCTTTTCCCAAAATAAAATTTCAAAATGAAAGCATTTTACTAAGTATTTTTTACATATTTCCCCTTATACATTCTCGTTATACTCTCGCAGATATTTCTATCTAACCGACATGCAGATATGATTAAAATACATATTCATATTGTTTCGTTCCGTGAACTACTGGAAGCCACCATTAATCTCTATTTCAAATAGTATTCTTTTAAGTGTCCTTGGTTATACTCAGAGTGGTAGAAGTTCTTTTTTTTTTTTTACCCAGTACAAGGCTCGGAGGCCACTCGAGGTAGAGGGTCACATTGTTTATACTGATATGATAGATAACGGTTAACCCTAGACTTGAACAGGTTAAGATTGTAGTAATCGGAAATATCTCTTAGGAGTCTGTTCCACAGAGTAGTGGTTCACGGGAAGAAGCTGTTTGAGTGGAAGTTACTTCTCTCCGAGGGAATACGGAGGGAATGTGGGTGTTTTGCTGCAATGTGAGTGGCATGGTGGGTCCTAGCCGTGAAGGTTAGATCTGGTGGAACCAGGGAATCCTCTTAGATTAACATATTTAACTACGCCTCAGTAAAAAAAAAAACAAAAATGAAGCAACCATCCTGTTTTTTAAACTCATCTTTGTTCAATCAACTGTGCATTGAGATCGTGTTACGGTTTATTCATATTAGAGAAGGTAACGGTTAATGCCTTGAACAGGTTAAGATTGTCGCGATCGGGGAAACATTCTTAAGTTGGTGATAGTTAAACATACATTTTGTTTTTAAATCCTATAATTTTATTTATTTAAAAAATGTATTTATACATTATATCGCCTCAAAATTCATGCCCTAGACAATATAGCGGTAAAAAGAGTTAAATGATAATTTTATTTAATGTATCGAAAACGTTATTTCCATTATTCGGTTTCTCTGTTAACAGTAGATTCGGCCCAATATTATTTGACAATCACTTTAAAATCTATTTTTGAAACTTGCATTAGTAAAATCAGATGATGGCTGCCTCTTAATAGCTTTGGTGTTTTCATTCTTTAAATAGTTCTTGTGTTTCACTTCCGTCTTATAAATTGCACGAGAATATAAGGAGAGGTTTTTTACATTTTCATACGTTTCAACATTTCAAATTTTTCTATCATGTCACAAACATTCGTCGATTTTTATTCTTATATTGCATTGATGAACTTAGAATTTCTTCAGTCAGGTCACAATTCATTGTTTTCTTCCCGTGGAGATAGGGAAAGTATACTTGGGGGAGGGGGATTAAGATCTAGCGAAGGCTTCACTGAAAAGAAAAAAAAGTCATCGATTTTAACAACCCAAGTAGCTTAGTTGAGCAACTTATAGGCCAATTTATTTATTTGTCGATTGATTTCTTCGGTTGTATTGCAAATGTTTTCAAACATTTCTTGAAAAAGAGAACCACGATTCAAAAATATTTTCGTGTTTCTAAAATCTAAGAAATATTTGGCTTCCATCAAAGCGTCAGCATTGAATGTCGACAGACTCCTTTTCGAAATTTGCTAAATTCAACGCATTCGACTGCAAATGAGAAATATTTTCGTAGTTTTGATTTTTCTTATCGAATTGTATTGTCGAAATTTATTTTGCTCTTAGTTTATGATCAACTCAAATGCAAAATCCTTAAAGATCTTTGAAGGAATGAACGATATCCCAATATTGCAAGTTTTCCACGATTTTTTTCTTCTTTTCAACTCCTCTCACATAACTTTTTCCCCACCTTTTGATTTTGATTTTTTTTCATTCACTCTTCTATTTTTTTCCTTTTCTTTCTTTGTTTTTTTCCGTTTCGTTTTCTTTTTCTTTATCTATTTTATTTCGTTTTTTTCTTCTTCTTCGCCTCCTCTTTGTTTTCTTCTTCTTCGCCTTCGCCTTCTTCTTCTTCTTCTTCTTCCTTCTTCTTCTTCTTCGCCTCCTCTTTGTTTTCTTCTTCTTCTTCGCCTCCTCTTTGTTTTCTTCTTCTTCTTCGCCTCCTCTTTGTTTTCTTCTTCTTCTTCGCCTCCTCTTTGTTTTCTTCTTCTTCTTCGCCTCCTCTTTGTTTTTTCTTTTCTTCGCTTCTTTGTTTTCTTCTTCTTCTTCTTCTTCTTCTTCGCCTTCTTCTTCTTCGCCTCCTCTGTGTTTTCTTCTTCTTCTTCGCTGCCTCCGCTTTGACGCCCTGTTAACTGGGGCTGTAGAATACACCGGCTGCACCTCTGTAGAGGTGTAAGACCCCCCCCCCTAATGGGGCGTCCTGGGTAAGACGACAAACTACGTGCAGCAGCAAGGCCTCTGCTCAGGAGGTATTGAGGAGCGTGGAACCACCTCTTAATTGCTGGTGTTACCAAGTCCACCATGACCCGGGGTGGTAGCACCTGTTAGGGTCCCAGCTATAGGCAAATAGTTAACTCCGAAACTGAGGTAAAAAGCATTATAAAAGTGTGGAAATAGGTTTTAATACCAGAAATATATTGTAAAAACTTATTACCAAAAATATTACCAGCTATACGTTTTTGAGGAAAAAATATTGACAGAAATAGATTTTTGACAAAACAAAAATATTACCAGGAAAAAAAAGTTGTCGACATTAAATGATCCATTGATATTGATATGCTGTAAAACAAACCAAACCAAGCCTCCTCTTTGTTTTTTTCTTCTTCGCCTTCTCTTCGTTTTCCTCGACTCTTCTTCGCTTTCGCCTCTTCTTTTTCTTCGCCTCTTCTTTTTCTTCGCCTCTTCTTTTTCTTCGCCTCTTCTTTTTCTTCGCCTCTTCTTCTTCTTCTTCTTCTTCGCCGTCTTCGCTTTCTCCTCTTCTTTTTCTTCGCTTTCTCTTCTTCTTTTTCTTCGCTTTCTCTTCTTCTTTTTCTTCGCTTTCTCTTCTTCTTCTTCTTCGCTTTCTCTTCTTCTTCTTCTTCCCCTTCGCTTTCGTTTCTTTTTCGTCTTTGCTTTCGCCACTTCTTCTTCGCCTTCTCGTTTCCTTTGCCTTGTTCTTCTCGTTTCCTTTGCCTTGTTCTTCTTGTTTCCTTTGCCTTGTTCTTCTTGTTTCCTTCTCCTTCGCCTTCTTTTTCTCCTTCGCCTTCTTTTTCTCCTTCGCCTTCTTCTTCTCGTTTCCTTCTTCTTCGCCTCTTCTATTACTCCATACAGGATTTAGTATTAAATAACCTGGCTAATCAACCGACAAACCAAAAAAATCAAATGTTCAAAGGGCCTACATTCACATCCATGTTGAAACTCCAATTCCCGTAAGATCACCAAAGTTGAGCAACGTCGAGCTTGGTCAGTACCTAGTTGGGTGACTGCTTAGTAATAACAGGCCCTGTAACCTTGAATGTGAAGTTGGTGTAATGGATAATGGCTCGGAATTGTTAATCGGAGAGCTGAGTTCCAATTCCATGTGGATTCGTTATATCCAATTCCTCGTGAATACTCTTGGGTAAAAGGTATGAGTTCCCCAGCTATGTGCTAATTAGTAAGTCTTGTATGTGAAAAAAATAAGGTAAATTATCTGCGCTTATGAGGCGGACGTGGAAACTGAGTGGTTGACAGATTTTAGTTTATCAAAACGAAGCTGCTCCAAGGCACTGATTTTGTAGTCTTTTGTTACCGGAAGAGTGGGATGCGCAGGTCTGCTCTTTGTTATTAAAGGTTTGCCTTCTCTTCCTTTTCTCTCTCTTATTTTTTTTAAAAAGGACATTACACTAACGGAGTTGTTTTGCGCGCTCTTCTCTCTATTATTTGATCCCTGTTTAAAACTGGGTCGCGAGACTAGGCGTGTTTCGCAATCATTTATTGCCGGACTGACTTTGATTGCCCTTGAGTCGAAGAAATTTTCGACATGTATCACTAAATCATTATATCAAAAAAAAATAAAAAATAAAAATAAATCGTACAATCTAAAAATATTTGTTATACAACATATAAAATCTTCTTTACTCAATATATTTGTTGAAAGACCTTAACTGCGTGGTCAAGAAAATACTTTTTTTCTTTGAAAAGACTGTTATTAAACATTAAATGTACATCTCAGATAGCATGAATTATTGCGCAACTGTTAGTTTCATCTTTATCGAACATAAAAGGATAATATTGTTATTGATTACTGAATGAACTTCTAACTTTAATTTGAAATGAGTGGACTGTCCGAACGATCTTCCTAGCAAATGTCTCGTTTGCCGTCAGCATTTGGGGGAATACGTATGCGAAAGATTAGCCGATTACTAAGTGATTTTTGCCACTTGTCTTATTTTGCACCTATTATTGCTCTGATGGTTCAGATCAGTAAATCCTAAGCCTCTTACTTTTGGAGAATCCATAAAATATTTTTTACATACCGATGAATTCTCAGATGTGTGCATACTAACCGATTTACCCGATATTTGTGGATTTATAAACACATGGCAATACTTAGATTATAAGTAGCGTGGTTATTGGAAAAGACAGTATTATAAAAGCAATTACAAATAGGTTTATTGTTGCTATTTATAAATAGTATCAAAACTCTTTCCCTGGTTAGGTTATGACAACAAATCAACTGGTGTCATGAAAAAGTTCTCACGGATGTCGGGATATTTCGTGACGATGCATATAGTTGATTAATCCGGATTTAACATAAAAGGACTTTCTTATCTTTTGTGAAGCTGTGAGACATCATGGTTTACAAGGTTAACAAAAAGTTATTCCCAAGATCAGAACATTATTGACAGATTAGATATGATTTTCCAGAAATAGGTTTAAAGAATGTTAGAGAAATATTAGAAGTGCCTTTAAAATTTACTCGGATTTTTATTGCGTAATCAACTGTTGTATATAGTTTACAAGATTTAGAGAGTCCTGGGTATGACGATAAATTACATCCAAAGGCAAGGCCCCCAATAAGAATATTTGAGGTTTTGAGAAGCGTGGAACCACCTCTTAATTGCTTTTATTTCTAGGTCTACCCTGACCTGGGGCGGTAACACCTGTTAGAGTCCCTGCTATGGAAAAAAACAGTGAACTCCCAAATAAAAATCAGCAGAACATTTTTATAGCAAAATGGCAGTCGATACAGCACTAAAAAAAATATAAAAATACATTTTTATAGTAAAATGACTAAGGAAATATTTTATGTTCTACAAACTATATATATACAAAAAAATACCTTTACTTTGAGAGTATAAAATTATGTACAATGTATCTGTAGTTGAAAGCATAAAATTTCGTGAGGGATATTTAGATTTTGGCATTAAATAACATATAGAGGTTGATGAGCTGCTAAAAAAAAATTCAACCAACCAACAAGTCGTAGAAAGAATGTCTGAAGATTGGAAAACCCATCCAGCGTGAACTTTACTGCAACAAATCATTTTGGATAAGATGATTTTTTTTCTTTTTATGTACAGTGTCCCTTTAGATCTTGCCCGGTCATGGCTCTCCACACCTCCTTATCTTTTGTCGCTCTAAACATTATTTATCTTTTTACTATCCCTGCTCTTCCATTCATTTACACAAGCTCGTTAGCTAGCTTACTCGCTGTTTCTCTCTCTCCTCTAGCATTCAGTATATCCTGTGAGTAACCTCCTCATGTCACAGAATTTTCAAATTTTTCTGTGTGATTCTATTTTTTTTCCATTTTTATTAAAGCTTCCTCGTTCCGTCTATGGTATTCTCAACATCCTTCTGTAGAACAACATCTCTGCTGTATCAAGTCTCCACTTTGTGAAGAAATTGTCCAACGGCAACGTTGATAAAAATGAATTTAATCTGAAAACTCAAATCAAAGAAAATCATGGTTTGATCTAGGGCAGCCTTTAACATTTCAACCAAAAAGAAATTCTTCAATACGAATTGCTGGAAGCTATATAGATCGTTAACTAGCAATGCGGAAATCATTAGCTAAGTTCATTAAATGATGCAGTAAAACAAGGGTTTTTTTCTTGGCTAGTAATTTAACCTTTTTTTCCTGGCAATGGCTGTCCTTTGTTCCATATTTAACATACAAAGAAGCAAATAATCATGGAGTGCAGGTGGAAAATTCTTCTACATGTGAGGGATTGATCAGATTTAGTTTCTCCCCATGAAGCATTTTTCCCCAGATATCAGGACTTTATATTTTTCAATTTTTATTATTATTACTTATTATTCATTATCCATTTATTTTGAAGAGCGATATGACTTTAGTTGGAGGCGACGCAGCCATGGTTTGTCACTTGGAGGCGACGCAGCCATGGTTTGTCACTTGGAGGCAACGCAGCCATAGATAATTTTGTGAAAGCCATAGAAAAATTGTTTGACACGAACTAATGTATTTTTAACAAAAAAAAAAAAAAAATGCCGGAAACTTTTCCACTAAGAAACACTGAAGTAGTAGTCCTGAAAAGTATATCTATTTCTGTTTAATGTCTGTAAATTTGATTGAATCTTCAGTTCTCTAGGAATGACATCAACCTTACTTTTATTGTCTTTATTGACAGGAGAATCGGTGGAGAATGAGAAAGTTGCAGTGGGTAGAGAATATATTGGTCTTTTCGAAATTGGAATCCTAGACTGGTTTTCTTTGCTAAATAAGTTAATGTTTCCTTCCCTGGTTCAATTTCGATTTGTTTGCATACTTGGTGAATCTAGAGTGGTATAAATGGATTTGATCCCATTGATATACTTGATATACATTGATATACTTGGTGAATTTGGTCCCATTGCATACTTGGTGAATCTAGAGTGGTATAAATGGATTTGGTCCCATTGATATATTAATGATCATTTCATGCCACATTTGTTAATTTGAAAAGTTTATTTTAAGGAATACACCTGACTAGAGTTGAAGAATAATTTGGTCGAAACGTTAACATCAAATACACAAAAATAAAGTTCAATTGTCTTATCAATATTGAATATATTTATGAATCCAAATTTAATACTTGTTAAAATGTGTTTGCCTAAAAGACTATTTTGGGGGGGGGACTAAATTTGTGTTATATAGTATATATGCGTTTGTCATTTCCATTGATAAATATCATGAAATGTCACTTATCTAACGGGTAACTATATTTAAACTAAAATTTATTTATCTCTCACAAGAAGAGGATAAATGAAAATTTCCTCTTTGTCTAATTGTGGAGTTTTTGTTTTTCTGTGCTCTTTCTTCAAGACATAAACTATCATGGCTTCCCATAGCATCCTTCTGTTTCCAGCAATAATTACATTATGGTCCCTCTGTTTTAGTGGTAATCTTTCCGCCATCGATTTGTTTCAATTACATAGTGCTTTTTTCTGGTTCTTGTGGCTTTGATTTGTCCTATGATTTTTAAATTCCCTAAACCTTCTTTCCTCAAAAGATTTAGCTGTCATTAATGATGGTTACTATAAATTTCTTTCCTATTCTTACAGTTTCTTCACTTGTTACCTTATCTGTCCGTTGTATTTTCAATATTCACTGACATCTCGGTCGCCGAAGTCTTTTCTTCATTTATGATAAAACTGCCCGATTTTCACTGTTGTATAGGTGATTACATAGTCCAACACATTTTTATTTTTGTATAGTGTTATTTCTTTAATCTTTTTATATGCGGTTCTTTAATTTTATTTTTTTTTGATTTTTAAAAATTTTTTTTTTTTTTTTTGGCTACCCATCTATTTTTTCTTGGTATTTGGTCAACTATAAAATTAAATCAGCAATTAATCTGGCACTAAACTTTGACTCTTATCGATGTTATGATGCAATGAACACTTGTGTCTATGGTAACTGCTTTATTATATCAACTGCTTGGTATATCGGGCCTGTCCTGTTCAGACCAAGATACACAAAATTTTTTGACTTTTAATTACAATTTCGAACCACAAAATAAATAATACATTTTCGTATATAAATGTTATCTTTTTCTTTGTAAAACATGTTTACTGTTTGAAAAAAAAAGACCGCTCCCTTTGTTTTAATGATACCTTGATACCCTCATTGTCTCTTTCCTCTTTTCCTGAGGGAGCAATAGTGCCAAGACTGAGAATGATTACTTGAATATTCTTCGCAATTTCCGAAAAAAATACTTTATTTCTATATTCTTATATGTTGCACTTCGCGCTGTTTGTTAAAATACTATCAAGTTTTAATTTCTGAACCTGCATAATTTGGACACGCCCAATTTGTAATCCGATGTTGTCCTTTTTTCACAGTGGACATTT